TCGGGATTTCTACAGTATCTTGTCATTCCTCACTTACAGTATATGCAGCGTATATTTTTATTTTTCTGTCTGTTAGTCAGTATACTGTGTGTCTATGATATTCTATGCATTCCTTGAAGGGAGCAATTGCATTGTAAAAATTCTTTTCTAACCAAGAATTGGCCAAGTATCTTAGTCTGTGGTAGAGTCTCCATAAAGAGGGGAGAGTTTAACGTAGCATATGGAAAGTTAAATAATGCCAGATAAATCACAACATTCTGTGGTTCAAAGGACAATGAATAATACAAAAAAAAGTTCTATAAGTTTTCAAAGAGTTGGCCTGGTAGGATCAGAGAGGCTTTATGGAGAAATTGGGGACTGAAGAATGACTTGGAATTAGAGCATCTAGAGAAGAAGGGACATTATTCCAATCTAGAATTACCAAAATTTTCACAACAACAAAGTACTTGTCAAATAAAAATATTTTTCCTAGGATGTCAAGTTGGAAAATACAGAATGCTGCTTAACTTTTACAAAATTGACATATATCTTAACCGTTAAAGCATTATGGAACTTTCAAAGCCAGGAATTCAAACAAGAGAATTTTGAAAGTGGAAGCCTAAGATTCACTGATTTTCTGATATAGATTGTAAAAATCTTTAGTTTCAGTTTTTCCTTTGCAGAATGGAACGAGAACTACATATTTTTTTTTTCTGTCATGGAATTGGTAAGATAGGGGCCATTGTTGGGGGAGGGTTTCAGGCATGTACATTGTACTCCATGCACTATAGAGAGAGTGCATGTGAGTTGTGCTGGAGTCATGCAATATGTAAGCTCTGGGTCCATGCCTGACCTGGTGCTAAGAAATTTGATAGATCGTCAATCACTTTTGCAAATCTTCCCCTTTTTCTTTAAGAGCAGGCACACACTGATACATAAGAAGCACAAATTGATGAGATAATTGGGTAAACTTATGTTGAACGTGAAGGGGAAAGCAACAATTTGGAGAATGAAAAGAATATGGATCACTATAAAAACTATTTTCATGCTTCAGTGCTATGATAGATCCACTTAAGCAATCAGGAATACGTGGTTCCTTGAAAGCTTTCATTAATGTTTGGTCCAGAGGTCAAGAGATGATTTATTTGCCCAATTACACATTGGTGTTGGTATTGAAATTGACATTGGTATTCCTCTACGGCAGAAGCATCCATTTGCCTTGGGGACCACAGTGCTAAAACTGTCAAGATAGTCCTGCGTCTTTCTCAACTAAAAAAATCCTGAAATGTCAGAACATTTTTCATTGCAGTAGTCAATACTTCAGCCCAGGTTAGCAGGTAAAATTATAAAATTGTCAAGCTTTCTAACCTTCCAATTTAGAATTTCTCCTTTCCCCTATTAGCAGTACTCCTTATACATCTCAGCCAAAAGCTTCCACAGAAAAATATGCTTTATAGTTCTTGTAATTGCCAACATTTATTGAGCCCTTTTTATGTGCCTAAGTATATGTTAACTCTTTACCACAATAATGCTCATAATTACTCTATTATCTTATCTCTTTATACAGATAAGGAAACTGAGGCCAATGGAGGTCAAGTGAGATCACACAGCAAATAAGTGATGAAAACGACATTCTGAATGAAAGTCATCTCAGTCCAGAGCGTAGGCTTCTGATCTTTATTTTACACTAATATTTTGGGCAAAAAAAGTTATTGAACAGAAAAATCTTTGACGAATATAATCAAAACAATGAGAAAACATAATAGTTTAAGAAAAAGTTATAATCAGAATATGCTGTAAATTTTTAAAAAATAGGAAAACTACTGTATTAATTCTATACTAATATATTTGAAACTCTTGAAGATATGATCAAATTCAACAAAAATATAATGGACCGAAAGGAACACAAGAAGAAACAGCCAAGAAATAGGAAAAAAAAGTTAAACTTTCCTCAGAAATAGCAGAAGAGGCACCAGGCACAAGTTGTTTTATGGAGAAGAGAGAGAAATGAAGCAAGTACCCTTTATACAACAATTTTATTATTTAGATATATAATACACAAATTTCCACACTTTTCTTATCTGCAATAGAAGCTGTTACATAAAACGTAAACTAAAGTAGAAAAGCAAGAAACAGAACTTTCAAATCTTTAATACATGAAGAATTTTAACCAATAATTTAAAAATAAGATATATCTCAATAAATGAGCAAAGAAAATTAATAATTAGCAACAAAGAGGCAATAATAAACATTCAGCTTTACTAGCAATCAAATAAATAAGAATTAAAACAGAACTTTTGCCTATCAAAATGAAAAAGATAAAGAATGATATAATACTCAATGAATCTGAAGTTGCTATCTTTCTGAATGACTATTTTATAATAAATAATAAATAAAAGAGGAAAGACTTTTTAAATATATTTACACTCTACTCAGGATTCCATAAGGAAATTAAGAGTAATGAATGTAAAGATTATGTATAAAGATATTTATTGCATGATTTATTACACTTGTGAATACTGGAAATATCCTACAGTAGTTTTTAAAATTAGAAAATTTTTTTTTTCTGAGGAAGATTTGCCCTGAGCTGACATCTGTGCCAATCTTCGTCTATTTTGTATGTGGGCCGCCACAGCACAGCTGCAGATGAGTGGTGTAGGTCCACGCTCAGGAACCGAACCCTGGCTGCCAAAGCAGAGTGCACTGAACTTAACCACTAGGCCATGGAACTGGCCCCTCACAGTATTTTTTATTTTCTACTTTTTTGGTTTTGAGTTCTGAAATTATTACCTCAACACAAATGTATTAAATGTCTACATTTGGTTTCAGATCTTTGCTGATGAATGTGAGACATCTCTATGCTCGAGAAGCTTGGGTTTCATAGAGTAATATGAAACACGAGAAGAAATTCAGTGTTGCAAGAGGGTGTATAAATCAAGGCTAAATTTTAAGAAATAATCTCTCTTTGCTGTGGGAATATGGAATAGCTGGACCTCAATGGGAGTTGAGCAGGATTGATCTGTGGAGGAGGTGAGGCTTGAACTGGACATTGGATTTCACAGTAGTGAGTCTCCCAGTCCAGGACCATGGAATATCTTTGATTTCTATCATCAGCGTTTTGTAGTTTTCTGCATACAGATCCTATATATATTTTATTGGATTTGTACTTCAGTACTTTTTTTGGAGTCTGTATGCTATTGCAAATGGCGCTGTTTTGTGAATTCAAATTCCAGTTGTTCATTGACGGTATATAGAAATGCACATGACTTTTTATGTATTGACTTTGTAATTGTGACTTGCTGTATTAATTTATTAGTTCTAGGAGTTTTTTTGTTGTTTCTCTTTGGTACATTCTTTGGGAGTTTTCTCCATAGACAATTATATCTGTGAATAAAACCAATTTTCGTTCTTTCTTTCCATCAAAATACTTTTGATTTCCTTTTCCGTCTTATTGTACTAATTAGGACTGTCAATATGATGCTGAATGGGAGTGGTGAAATGGCATCCTTTAGTGTTCTCAGTGTTAGAGGGAAAGCTTCCAGTAAGTCACTATTTAATATAATGTGAACTGTAAATTTTTGCAGAAGTTCCTTATCAATTTGAAGTCCCCTTATATTCCTAATTTGCTGAGAATTTTTATCATGAATGGATGTAAATCTTGCCAAATACTTTTTCTCCATCCATGGATGTAATTATATGATTTCTCTTTTTTAACCTGTTAGATCACATTGATTGATTTTCAAATGCTGAAACAACTTATCTTGATTTCTGTTCTAATTTTCATTATGTCTTTTCCTCTCTTTTCTTATGCCTAAATTGGTTTTTAAATATCTAGTTTTCTGAGGTGGAAGCTAGGTTATTGATTTTAAATCTTTCAGTTTTTGAATATATGTATTTAGTGCTATAAATTTCCCTTAATTACTGCTTTTGCTGCATCCCACAAATTTTGATAACATGTATTTTCGTTTCATTTAGTTGGTAATAGTTAAAAATTTATCTTGAGACTCCCTTTTTGGTCTATGTGTTATGTAGAAGGTGTTGTTTAATTTCTAAATGTCTGAGGATTTTCCAGCTATCCTCTGTTACCGATTTCTGTTTTAAATCCACTGCTATCTGCAAACATGCTTTGTATGATTTCTATTCTTTCACATTTGTTAAAGTGTATTCTATGACCCAAAATGTGGTCTCTCTTGGTAAATGTTCTATGTGAGCTTGAGAAGAATGTGTATTCTGTTGTTATTGAGTAGAGTATTCAATAAATGTCAGTTAGATCAAGTTGATTGATAGTGCTGTTTAGGTCAACGACAGCCTTACTGATTTTCTGCCTGCTTGATCTATTAATTACTGATGGGAATAGGGTGTTGAAGTCTCCAACCATAATAATGGGTTTATCTATTTCTCCTTTCAGTGTTTAAATCATGTGTTTTGGTGCTCTGTCATACAACTTCAGGATTCTTGAAGAATTGTCTTATTGGAGAACTGTCCCCTTAGCCATTATGTAATGTCTTTTTTTATCACTAATAATTTTCCTTGTTTTAAACTATACCTTGTCTTAATAAATTAATCAACATAAATTAAATTAATATATTAGATTAATATAGCTGCTCCAACTTTCTTTTGATTAGTGTTAGTATCAAGTATCTTTTCCATTTCTTTACTTTTAACCTATCTGGAGTTTTATATTTAAGATGGATTTCTTATAGACAACATAGTTGAGCTTTTTTTAAAAATCCATTCTGATTATCTTTCAAATGGTGTATTTTACTTTGACTATATTTAAAGTGATTATTGACATAGATTAATTCCACCATGTTTCTAATGTTTTCTATTCATCATGCTTATTATTTTTTCCTTTTTTTTGGCTTCTCTAGTTTTTTTTTTCTGTTTAATTTTTTTTTTTTTTTTTTGAGGAAGATTAGCCCTGGGTTAACATCTGCTGCCAATCCTCCTCTTTTTGCTAAGGAAGACTGGCCCTGAGCTAACATCGGTGCCCATCTTCCTCTACTTTATATATGGGACGCCTGCCACGGCATGGCTTGACAAGCAGTGCCATGTCTGCACCCAGGATCAGAACAGGCAAACCCTGGGCAGCCAAAGCAGAACGCATGAATTTAACTGCTGTGTCACCAGGCCGGCCTCTGATGGCTTCTCTAGTTTTAATCAGGATTTAACATGATTTTATTTTATCTCCTCTCTTTTAAAAAATTAATGATTATCTTAAAGTTTGAATTATTTTTAAATGAATTTAAATCCACCTTCAAATAACACTCTACCACTTCATCTGCAATGCATGTGCCCTATAACAGACTATTCCTAATTCCTCTTTCTCATCTTTTTTGGCATTGCTGTTATTCATTTAATTTATCCATATGCTGTCATCAGCCAACACTTTTTACTATTATTGATTTGAATAGAGTTATATTTTAGATCAGTTAAGAATAAAAAAGTTAGAACTTTTAGTTTAACTTGTTCTTTCTCTGATGCTTTTCCTTTCTTTATGTGCATCTGAGTTTCTGACCTATATAATTTTTCTTCTCACTGAAGTCTTTGTAGGCAGATCTTCTAACTGTAAAGTCTGTCCACTTTTATTTGTCTGATAAAGTCTATTTGCCCTTTGCTTTTAAAGAATAATTTCACTGGAATAGAATTCTAAGTCGGTGTTGTTTTTTTATCCATTCACTCACTCAATGTCTTTGATAAGTGAACTTAATTCATTTACATTTAAACTAATTTTTGATAGGTAAGGGCATACTATTGATATTTTTTTAATTGTTTTCTGGCTGTTTTGTAGTTCTTTCTCAGACCTTCACTGTGAAAACCTTCTGGGTTACTGGAGAGGAAGTATGCCCTCAGCGCCAAGACTGAGGCCCAGGAGTTTCTCATTTTCATGCTGGTCCCTCCACACCCAACTTCCACCAATATATCAACTGTGAATTTTCCTGCCAGTTAATGACTCCACTTTCTTCTCCTCCTGTTAGCAAATCTCAACTGCTGTATCTCTCTGGATACCCAAGTCTTTCCAGATTTGGAGGTTGGTGGTTTGCCCTATGTCTTCAGTTCTCTGATGTGTTCAAGGAAAGTAATTGTTTTTTAGATTGTTTAGCTTTTTAGGTTGTAAGGATGGTGTTGAAAACTCTGAGCTCTTTACATGTGAGAGCTGAAACAAGAAGTTCATGGACTTGAAGTTTAAACAGGTAGAATGAAGTTGGGCAGTTGCTGGAGGTTAGGCATCACCAAGATCTATTGAAGTCCTGACACTGTCTAACCTGAGATGTGGGTTTGTACTGTGGCAGATGGAATAGGACATAGCCATCTTCCACCCCTTGCATAGGAGTCTCTTCAAAGGATATTTTAAGATTCTCATTCACAGGAAAGGAAGGTTCTGGGTGAATCTATTTTCTGTGGAGGCTAATCTTAGTCATTAGAGGAAAGAAGAAAAAACACAGAATGAAGTCTTTCTTGGTCGGTCAGTCTCCTAGCTCCGGCCCCAAATTTCTGTGCAAACCCTACAGTGCTGTGGTTTTAGCAAAGAGTGACTGGGAGTTTAAAAATGCTAGTTCACTAATAGCTCTGTTGATACTGGTAACACAGGATAGCCCTTCTTTGGGTCGTTCTTGTAATTGAAACAAAGGTTGGCCCAGATACAAAAGGACCTTAAAAACAGATGAAATAATTTAGATGTAATATAAGGATAAAAACCAGACATGCCACTGGAAACTTTTGAGTAGGAGACTGATATAATATTTCCATTGGGTGAGTATCAACGTCTGAGTCTGGGTGCAGGACAGGTTATGCTGATGTCCTTGTTCATAGGTTATGCAGCATAAGGAGATCCTGGCTTTGGAGCCAGGCATTAAAGAGATTGAATTTTTATTCTGATACTTAATAGCTGAGCCATTTGGCAAACATCTTTGCAAACAATTTTGTAAATTACTTCTCTGGACCATATTTTCCTCTCCTGTAAAATTAGGATAATAATATCTATTAAAAGACTTTTGAAGATTATATCAGATAACACATGGATATGGAACAAGGCTATAGTACAAAGACATAGAACATGCTCAATAAATGATAGGTATTTTACTATGATATTGCGTTTGAGCTTCATTTTAATGCGTTAGTATTAGTGGACAACAAAGCGGCATCTCTGTAGTTTCACAAGTTAACAAAATGAATCTTAATCTCTTTGAATTAATTGAAAATGAGCCCCCAACCTCTATGTGGGAAATGGAGAAAGGATAGAAACAAGAAGAGTCCATCTGCACACTGAGGAAAAGCTAGGGGATGGGAGAGACGGGCAGCTCTGAATAGTCAGAGAACGGCAGCGGTGTGCTCAACTCATGAGGGCTCTAGAAATTTGCAGCAGGAATATAAAACTCCCAAATCCATGAGACAGTAGTTTCTCTGGAACCATCTTCAGAAATATCCTGGACTTAGAAAAGAAAAAAAGATTTATCACAAGGAGAACAGACAGGGTAGAAAATGTGGAAAGCGAATATAAAGCAACTTGAATAAAGCAATTTATCATGCTTTCTAAAGCTTCTATTTCCTTAAAGTCTGTTATAACTTGGGGTAGCTTTGTCCTTCAATTTTAGAGTCACAACCAAACCAGGCGGGAAACATCCAAAGCAGCAGGAAGTAGAGGAGAGGGCTTTGGAATCAGACAGGCTAGGATTCAGTTTTCAACTTTTGTTATGACTATATATGACTTTGGGCAAATTATTTAGCTCTCAAGAAGCCAAAACTGGCACATTGCCCTGTGTCAAAAGCACTCCTTATTCCACAGTCAAGCAAACAAAACAAATACTGTGCCCTAAGGTAGAACAAAATTAGCAGGATCATCCTGTCTGATTCTGTAATTCTGGTAATAAAACCTTATTATTTTCTGGAATCCTGGACTTTCTAACAAAAACAATTTTATCCTGAATTTTTGTTATGTTGATATCTGAAGCTGAGTCATGACCTTTAGGAAATAGGATAAATACGTGTGAAAAATGGCATTTTTTTCTACTATGAACTTACTAGCATAAATCTGGTAACCATGATATTTTGCATTTATTTTCTTTTAACAGCTCTATTGGGATACAACTGACACAGATTAAAGTATACAATTTGATAAACTTTGACATACCTATACACCTGTGAAACCATCACCACAATCAATTTAGTGAACATATCCATCACCTGCAAAAGTTCCCTCATACTTATTTGCTTTCCCTCACCTGCCTCTACCCATGCCACTTCTCCCGTGCCCACCACTGATCTGTTACTGTAGACTGGTTTGTATGTCCTAGAATTTATCCAAATGAAACCATATAGAATGTATTATTTTTTTCTGACTTTTTTTTCACTTAGTATAATTATTCTGAGATTCATCCATCTTGTTACATGGATCAATAGTTTATTCTATTAAATTGTTAAGTAGTATCCTGTTGTATGGGTACACCAGATTTGTTTATCTATTCATCTGTTGGTACACTTTTTTTTTGTTTCCAGTTTTATTGTCATTTCAAATAAAGTTGCTGTAAACACTATAGTGTAAGTCTTTGTATAGATATGAGCTTAAATTTATTTTGGGTAAATACCTAGGTGTGGAAGGGAAGAATCATATGGTCGGTATATGTAACTTTTTAAGAAAATATCAAAGTGTTTCCCAAAGCAGTTGTACCATATGGTAGTTTTCTGTTGCTGCTGGAACAAATTGCCACATGCTTAGCAGCTGAAAACAACATGAATGCATTTCCTTACCGCTCGGAAGGTCAGAAGTCTGATGCAGGTCTGCATGGGCTAAAGATCGCTGCGTCAGAGGGCTGCTTTCCTTTTGGGAGGCTCTAGGAGAGAATTCATTTTATTGCTTTTTCCAGCTTCTGGAGGCTGTCTGCACTATTTAGTTTATGGCATTCTTTTTCCATCTGCATAGCTGACAACTGTGCGTCTTCCTGCCTCTTATTCTCTTGCCACATTTCTCTCTGCCACAGCCAGGAAAGGTTCTCAGTTCCTAAGGACTCATGTGATTAGATTAGGCCCACCTAATCTAGAAAACTAAGAGCAAATTAATGGAGAGTAAATAGAATAAAAGACATAATAAAGAATAAGGTTGACTGACTAACGGTGTCTGACTTTAAGACAAGTAGATCAGTGAGAAGAATGAATGCAGAAATAGACTCACACTTAAGGGGGCAACTGGTTTTCAACAGAAGTGTCAAGGCAATTTAGTGGAGAAGGAAAAGTCTTTTCAACAAATTGTGGTGGAAAATTTGCCTATCCTTATGGAAGAAAACGATCTCTGATCCATATCTCTTACCATATACAAAATTGTCAAGATACATTACAGCCCAAAGGGTAAAACCTAAATCTATAAAACTCTAGAATAAAACACAGGAGGAAACCTGTCCTGGATAATCAAGATGATCTCCGCCTCTCAAGTTAGTTGATTAGCAACCTTAACTCCATCTGCAGTCTTAATTCCTTTTGCCGTGTAAACTAACATGTGGATGTGGACATAAGAAATCATTATTCTGCCTACCACATACCATCTTATATTCCTACCAGCTGCGTGTGAAAGTTTCTCTTCCTCCACGTTGTCTTCCATGAAGTGTTTGTTCAAACTTCTGCTCATCTTTTAATTGGATTGTTTGATTCCTTATTATTGAATTTGATAGTTCTTTAAGTAATCTAGATAAAAGTCCCTTATCAGGTATATTATTTGCAAATATTTTCTCCAAATCTGTGATGTGTCCTTTTACTCTCACAAATTGTCTTTCAAAGAGCAGAAGTTTATAATTTTTTTTGTGTGAGGAAGATTAGCCCTGAGCTAACATCCATGCCCATCTTCCTCTACTTTATATGTGGGATGCCTGCCACAGCATGGCTTGAAAAGCGGTGCATGGGTCTGTTCCTGGGATCTGAACCAGCGAACTCTGGGCTGACAATAAGGAGCATGCAAACTTAACCACTATGCCACTGGGCCAGCCCAAGAAGTTTATAATTTTGATGAAATCTAATTTATCAATTCATCCTGTTATAGATCATGCTTTTGGTGTAGTACCTAAGAAATCTTTGCTCATCTCTGGGTCCAAAAGGTTTTCTTCTCTGTTTCGTTCTAGAGTTTTATAGATTTGGGTTTTATACTTATGGCTGTGATATATTTTGAGGTAATTTTTGTATAGTATGGGATATAGATCAAAGATTGTGTTTTTCCATAAGAATATCCAATTTTTTTCCACCACAATTTGTTGAAAAGTCTTTTCTTTCTTATTAAATTGTCTTTGTACTTTCGTTGAAAACCGGTTGTTCCCATATTGTGTGAGTTTATTTCTGGACTCCTTATTTTTCTCCACTGATCTATTTGTCTTGAAATCAGGCAGTGTCAGTCAGTCAACTTTCTTCTTTTCCAAAGTGGTTTTAGCAATTCTAGGTGCTTTGCATTTGCATATAAACCTTAGAATCAGTTTGCCAACTTCTATAAAATTTCTTAAGTATTTCCTACTTTTATCCTATTTAAATGGCATATGTTTGTAATTTTAATTTCTAATTATTGATTACCAGCATATTGAAATATGTCATGTTAGTTTATTGATCTTGTATTCCACCTAACTTGTTAAACTTTCCTATTTGTCCTGGTTGCTTTTTTATAGAATCCATTGGATTTTCCACACTGAAAATATGTTTTCTGTGAATAAAATAGTGTTACTTATTCCTTTCCAATATATATGTCTTTATTTCTTTTTCTTGTTTATTTCACTGTGAAATCTCCAGTACAATGTTGAATAGAAGTGGTGAGAATGGATATTGTTGCTATTTTCCTGATCTTAAAGAGAAAGCATTCATGCTTCCACAATTAAGAAGGAAGTTAGCTATAGAGTTTCATAGTTCCCATTTATCAGGTTAGGAGACTTATCTTTTATTCTTAATTGACTGGTAGTTTTATCAAGAATTGATGTTTCAGGGCCAGCCTTGTGGCCAAGTGGTTAAGTTTGCATGCTCTGCTTTGGTGGCCCAGGGTTTTGCTGGTTAGGATTCTGGGTGCAGACCTAGCACCGCTCATCAAGCCATGCTGAGGCAGTGTCCCACATAGCAAAACTAGAAGGACTGACAACTAGGATATACAACTATGTACTTGGGGCTTTAAGGAGAAGAAGAAAAAAAACCCAAAAAGATTAGCAATAGATGCTACCTTGTGGCCAATCTTTAAAAAAAAAAGAACTGACGTTGCATGGTGTCAAATGATTTTTCTGCTTTTGTTGAGATAACTATAAAGTTTTTCTTTGTAGTCTGCTAATGTGGTGAATTGCATTGATTGGTTTTCAAATATTAAACTAATTTTGCATTTCTTGGTTAACACCAATTATCATGATGTACTATGTATTTATATTTGTATGTGTGTGTGTAGTTGGATCTGATTTGCTAAATTTCTGTTTAGAAGTTTTGCATCAATATTTATGAATATTATTGGTCTTTAGTTATCTATTTTTATAGTATCTTTTTCTAGTTTTGATATAAGGATAATACATAGAATGATTTTAAAAGTATCTCTTCATCATCAATGGTCTGGAATAGATTGGGCAGGATTTATACTATTTACTCCTGAAATTTTTGTTAGAAATCACCAGTGAAGCTATATGGAAGTGTTCTATATGACAAGAGTTTTAAATAAAAATTCAATTTCTTTCATAGACATTGGACTACTCAGGTTATATTTTTCTTCTTTTTATTTTTTTCTTGGAAATATTGGCCTTGAGCTAACATCTGTTGCAAATATTCCTCTTTTTGACGAGGAAGATTGTCCCTTGACCAACATCTTTGCCAATCTTCCTCTATTTTTTGTATGTGGGATGCTGCCACAGCATGGGTTGATGAGTGGTGTGTAGGTCTGCACCTGGGATCCAAACCTGCAAATCCTGGGCCACTGAAGCAGAGCACACAAACTTAACCACGACACCACTTGGCCACCCCCTATTTTTTTTTTTTTACCTATATGATATTCAGAAGCTTATTATGTAGTTTCCACATACTTGCAGATTTTGTAGATATAATTTTTATTATCCTATTGTGGTCAGAGAAGATACTTTTCTACAATTTGAATCCTTTTAAAATTTATTTAGAGCTGTTTTAAGGTGCAGAATATGGTCTATCTTGGTAAATGTTCTGTATGCACTTGAAAATAATGAGTATTCTCATGTTATTCAGTAAAATGCGCCAAAAGTGTCAACCAAATCAAGTTGATTGAGAATGCTGTTCCAATCTTCCATATCTTTATTTATAGTCTATCTCCTTGTTATTGAAAGAGTAGTAATGGAATCTCTGGTTACAAATGGATTTCTCTATTTCTCCTTGTAGCTCTTTACTTGAAGCTCTGTTGTTAGGTGTATAAATATTCAGACTAATTCATCCTAAAAAATTTTCTGATTTATTAAAATGAAATGGCATTCTTTATACCTGATAATATTCTTTTCTTTGAAATCTACTTTTTCTGATATAAATGTGACAACTTAAATTTTGTTCAATTAATATTCCATGGTACTCCTTTTTAATTTTTTTAATTTTAACCTTCTTGGGTCTTTATAGTTAAAGTACATTTCTTATAGGCAGCATAGTTTTCACTTTTTGTTCAACCTATCTGCCAGCCACTACCTAATATTGGAATTTAGACCATTTATATTTAATGTAATTATTGACATATTAAAGCTTAACATCTGTTGTCTTACTATTTATTTTCTATTTATCTTGTTTATTCTGTGTTCATTTTTTTACTTTTTTCTGATTCTGCATTGATTTGATATTTTGTATGATTCCACTTTATCACCTTAATTAGCTTATTAGCTATAAGTTTTTATGTTATTTTAGTGATTGCTTTGCAGTTAAATTTACATCTTTAATTCATCAAGTCTATACTCAAATAGTATTATGCCATTTTACTTTAAAAATGAGAACAGTATAATATTATATTTACATTTCTCTTTCTCCAGCCTTTGTGTTATTATTCCAGGCATTTTACTTTTACACATCTCATATACTCCATTCTACAACATTATTACAGTCATGTGCCACATAATGATATTTTGTTCAATGACAGACTGCATATATAATAGTGGTCCCATAAGATTAGTACCATACAGCCTAGGTATGCAGTAAGCTATAGCATCTACGTTTGAGTGAGTACACTCTATGACATTTGCACAATGATGAAATTGCCTAATGGTGCATTTCTCAGAATGTGTCCCAGTTTTAAGCAATGTATGACTGCATTCTTAAATAGTCAATTATTTTTAAGGAGATTTAATGAATAAGAAGAAATTTTATGTACATGAAATTACTTTTTCCAGTGCTGTACGTTCCTTTTGCAGATCTTTATTTCCATCCAATACAAATTTCTTTCTGCTTGAAGAACATCATTACATTTTTATTTTAATGTACCTCTGCTGATGATATATTATTTTAGCTTTTGTATGTCTGAAAAATCTTTAAGTTTCATTCATGAAAGATATTTTCTCTGGGTATAGAATTCTAAGTTGACAGGTTATTTTCTTTTTTTTTTTTTGAAAGGGAAGGATTTGCCCTAAGCTATTATCTGTTGCCAATCTTCCTGTTTTATTTTTTTCTTCTCCTCAAAGCACCAGTGCATGGTTGTACGTCCTTCTAGTTCTTCTATATGAGCTGCCACCATAGCACAGCAACTGACAAATGGGTGGTATGGTTCTGCAAGCGGGAAATGATCCTGGGCCACTGAAGCAGTGAGAGTGCCAAGCTTTAACCACTAGACCATTAGGGCTGGCTCAGGGTTTTTTTCTTTTAGTACTTTCAAGATAATGGCCCATTGTTTTTTGCCTTGCTTTGTTGCCTATGAGAAGTCTACTGTACCCTTAAATTTCTTCCTCTGTTCACAATGTGTCTTATTCCTCTGGTTTATTTAAAATTTATTTAATAAATTAGAGCCATTTAGTCTTCTATTTCACAGTTGGTCTCTGCTTTTGTCTTACAAATACCTAAAGGGTACTGATATGAGCTAAAGATCCAAATGTAATTTTGAGGAGGAAATTTTTAATAAAATTCAGTAAAGAATACACCACATAGTCTTGACTATTGGTACTACAGGAAATATTTTTATGAGTAGAGTTTATATCATTACCATAGATGTGACTTTTAGACTAAACCAACAAAGTAAGTGAGAATTTCCAAAGCTATTTCTGTCCAGAAGAAGATTCTTTAGAAGTAAATTACTTAATCCAACTTGAAAAAATAAGTTAATGACTTTGAACTACAACAAATAATTGAAAGATTATTTGCCAAAATCTTGGATTCTCTAACAAAAATGATTTTATCCTGAAGTTTGACCATGCTTATATTAGCTATAAATTTGTTAATATGATGAAAATTTCTATTTCTTTACCATGTAAAAACTAAAGCAAGGGCTGGCCCTGTGGCCGAGTGGCTAAGTTCGCACTCTCTGCTTCGGCAGCCCAGGGTTTCACTGGTTCAAATCCTGGGTACAGACATGGCGCTACTCATCTAGGCCATGCTGAGGCGGCGTCCCACGTGGCACAACTAGAAGGACCCACAACTAAAAATACACAACTATGTAACAGGGGGGCTTTGGGGAGTAAAAGGAAAAATAAAAATCTTTAAAAAAAAAAACTAAAGCAAATTTGGTAACCTCAGCGATTGTGTGTGTGTGTTTTCTTTCCTTTAAATATTTGTTAATTTATTTATTTGGTTATTTATTTATTACTTTGGGCAAAAATCTGATATTCTTTACATTTCTTGCAAGAAAACCTCTTCTCTTCTTTTTAAAATACTTCTGTCTCAGGGCTGGCCCAGCAGCATAGCAGTTAAGTTCGCACTCTCTGCTTCAGCAGCCCAGGATTCACTGGTTTGGATCCCGGGCATGGACCTATGCACTCTTTATCAAGCCATGCTATGGCAGGCATCCCACATATAAAATAGAGGAAGGTGGGCACGGATGTTAACTCAGAGCCAATCCTCCTCAGCAAAAAGAGGAGGATTGGTGGCAGATGTTAGCACAGGGCTAATCTTCCTCCAAAAAAAAAAAAGAAAGAAAAAATAAAATACATCTGTCTCTGAGTCTTTCTTTAGCTCTTTGCCTTAGTCTGCCTTTTTCTTTCTTTCTTTTTTTTTTTTTTTCTATAAAATGAGCATAAAATTACCCAGGATTGGCAGCTTTGGTCTGAATAAAAATATATATTCATATAATTTGGTAATGGTATAAAATGGTGTTATGAAGTAAAATAAAGCAAGTCTTATTCATCTTTGCCTTCCTGAGCACCTAACACAGAGCTTAGTGCATAGGAGCTCAACCACTTGGGTGGAATTGATAAGATACAATAAATTTAATCTCATAAAATATTATTACTGGACTTTAGCCATACTGCATTAGGAATTAAAACTGAAAAAATGTTGGGACTGAAAAAAACTTTGTAAACTAGCCTATTATTGCAAAAAAAAAGAGCAAGAAGTAGAATCAAAAGACTCATGCTTGAGTGCCGTTGTTTGCTCAAACCAGTGAGTTACTTGCTGTGAATGTGGAAAACTAGTTTCCCCTGTTAGCCCTCATTGTTAACATATGGATATTAATTTCACCCAAGCCCAGCCTTTCACATCAAGTTTTGTTATAGACCAAGTGAGAAAACACTTGAAGTGATTTGCAAATTGCTTAATAGTACAGTTGATTCTCCCTATCCGGGAATTCAACCAACTGCAGATGAAAAGGCCTACAATGATTGTGTCTGTACTGAACATGGACAGACTTTTTTTTCTTGCCATTATTCCCTAAACAATACAGTATAACTATTGACATTGTTTTTATATTGTATTAGTATTATAAATAATCTAGAGATGATTTAAAGTCTATAAGAGGGTGTGTGTAGGTTATGTGCAAATAATACGCCATTTTACATAAGACACTTGAGTATCTGTGGATTTCAGTGTCCTCAAGTGGTCCTGGAACCAACCCCCACAGATACTGAGGGATGAGTGTATACAAATATGAAGTGATATTTTCTATTCCAACCTTCTTATTTTACAGATGGAGATTTGAGGCTCTAATGAGTTAAGTGATTTATCTAAGGCTATAACATTTGTCAGTGGTGCCTGAATGAATCACATCTTCTATTTCTGCAGCCTTTGAATCAAGCACTAATTTTTCACCCCCAAGAAATCTGGGATAATTGCTTCAGATTGGGTACCTGAAATTAAAAGATTGTGGTCCCAGCTTGGAACTCACCTGAGAGACAGGAAGAGAGGCTCTGTGTGGGAGAGTCCAGGCATGTCCAGAGGAATTGCTTCTCAGGATTGAGCCCAAGGAACTTGTCAGAGATTTAAGTTATCTCAGTGCTTGAATGATGAACACCACTATTTATAAAATGGTATTTTTTGCCTAAAAGACAAACCACAATTTATCCTGCCTTCCTAAAATAAAATATAAAATCTATTAAATAGGAAAGGTATCAAATACACATTTTTTTTTTTGTTCATCTGATTCAGCAAGAAAACTAACTTACATTTCCTTTTATCAAAAGCATCCTGGATCACCAATGCTTGGTCAATATGTAAATCTTAAGTGTTGCTGCTTTGGTCTTTAAGGTATACTGATGGTCCTCGAAACAAGGTTGGGTTCCTGCAGATTCTTTCCGTGAAGTTACTGGGAGAAAAATTGGCTTTCACGGTGCTTCTTCCAAACTTCAGGAGTTCCTAAGAATCTATATTTAGAGTTCAAAAAATTTAATGCATCAAGATAGAAAGCTAAATTACTTTTTTCAGTTTGCTCTGTCTGCATCAGCAATGCCAGAGTCATAATTAGGAATATCGCTTCAGTAAAACGTCATTAATCCAAAAGGTCATTAATTTGGAATTTTTCATAATGTGGATGTGGAAACAATGTTGGGTTCCTTCAGACTCTTTCCCTGAAGTTACTGGGAGAAAAACTGGCTATCAAGGTGCTTCTTCCAAACTTCAGGAGTTCCTAAGAATCTATATTTAGAGTTCAAAAAATTTAATGCATCAAGATAGAAAGCTAAATTACTTTTTTCAGTTTGCTCTGTCTGCATCAGCAATGCCAGAGTCATAATTAGGAATATTGCTTCAGTAAAATGTCATTAATCCAAAAGGTCATTAATTTGGAATTTTTCATAATGTGGATGTATTAGGCTGAAGTTTCCTTTTACACAACTAAGGACAAAAGGATTTTCTATGTATTTAAATAATCTAAAGAAGGTAAAGATTACACTTATTATAGAAAGAAGTGCAGGGAATAATTTGAAAGAGTTTAGAAGCCTGGGATCAGGGAAAACCTGTGGAAGTGAAACAAGTCAAGTAGCTGTTATTTCCTGTTGCATCTAGTTCTTCACGACCTAATGAGCACCTGCCTTCTTGCTCATGGGCCTGTCAAATCTTCCACAGAGATTCAGCACCCACATTCAGGTAAATGATTTACTATACCTTTATGATGTAAAGAGTTGCCTTGGAAGTTAATATTTTGAGGCTTAACCAAGGCAAAAAATTTTGAGCTGAGTTTCAGAGAGTGGAGTTTGCACTATTTATCATAAAGAAGGGAAGATTTGCCAAAACTTGACCTCCCTTTCTCCTTTCAACAATCCAATAAATGCACCCACAGTATATCGGGAACAACATTAAATGTTGACAGTGAAGCAGGTAAAGACACAAAGACATAGTCTAGATTCACAGCCTGAATCAGGTTGTAGCTCTTAGCCTGCTCCTGACTTTTGTGTCAGAGTAAAGGGCAGGGCAACGCTAGCACATAGGTGACACTGGCATTTCATTCCATTGCCTCGAAAACTTAGATGGTCGTGAATTTTAAAAGGCCAAAGAGATACACGTGAATAAACAAACAATTACAATGATAAGTAAGTGTGAGATAGTAAGCCAGTGTGATAAGAATACAGTTGCTCTAGAAGCTCCGAAGAGAGGCACATGAAAGGGAAGACATGACAAATGAGGATACCATTAAGAAGAAAGTTAGAGGACATGAAAGGAGTAGGCCTTGTGAATAATGGACACTAAAGCTATTCATAGTGAAAGAACATGTGAGAGAAAGTGCATGATATGTCTGTGGTATACAGGGAACTGAAGCAACTTGGTGGCAAAGGGTGCATTAGGGAAGGTGAAGGAGTCAGGAGAGGATGGTCAGGAAGACCAGAGAGTGAAGGCCCTCTGAAGTTTTGAAAAAGGATACTTGATTTTACCGTCAAGAGAAAGGATTTTTAAGAAAGCTAGTGAAAAAATACTCAATTTGAATTTAGAAATATCACCCAACAGGATCATTGTGTATTGATCCCCATGCCCCCAAAAAATGCTAGTAGAAAGGACTAAGGCTCCTGTTGTAGTAATGTAGGTGGGTAGTGAGGGCCTGCACCACAATGGGATCGGTAAGATGGGAGAGGAAAAGTGTTTTCAGTCACATTTGGGAGGTAGAGTTGCTTGCACTTGGGGATCGATAGATGTGGGGAGTGAAGAAGAGGATGACTAGGCGAATTGGGGCAGCGGTTAGGGGTGTAAGTTGGGTTTGAATACATGGAAACGCATATGGGCTATTCCCAGTGTACATGCTCTGGAGCTCTGGTCTGACTCTATATTCTCAGGCTAAAGTTGCTCATCCACAATATAGATAACCCCTACTATCACTTCAAGCAATTTTAGGGGGCCTTGGCAAAGTCTCAGAATATTTACCATTTTTCAAAAATTTCCAAGTGCATGTTGAGTGTCTACACAGAAATCCTGTATTGATTAACATGCCTTACCTATTTCCCCAATTTTACTTCTTGCTTTACTGTGTATACTATAACAGACACTGTTGTTGGCTAACCCAATACCCATTCCCAACCACTGCTCCCCCTTCTCCCTCCACACAATGTGGAAACACTAACTGCAATTTACCATCTTGTCTGCAGCAGTGGTGGCTCTGTGGTACAATTCTAGGCAATTGTACAAAACAAAATCTTCTGGGGGCTTCTTATTTTTAAGAAAAAGAACAAACAACTTTGGGTTTTTGTGTGTTTTCTTTTTACCTCTTCTTCCTGCCTTAATAAAATCCTTGGAGCTGGGATATTTACCTTGGGTTCTTGAGAATCCCAGAGACCCTGAGACTGATACTGTTGAGATCCTGAGCTAGTTCCAGTGACAGCAGACTTTTCATTGTATGAGAGGGAAAAAAGTTCCCATTTGTTGAAGTCACTATAATTAGGTTTTCTGTTGACTGCAGCTGCACACTTTCCTAACTGATACACAACCCCACAGAGAACTTTAGATACAACATATAATCACTTCTAAAATTGAAATATAGAATCCCATAAAAGTAACCAACTTCACTAATTACAAATCCCCTCCCTCAAAAATCATCCTTAATACTAAGAAACATATACAATAAAATATATTCCAAATTCATGGACCAAATTCTCTAATTGTACTAAATATATAGGTGAACTGGATATAATGGAATAAGAAAAAATCAGCCTTAATTTCTTAACTGGAAATGTCGTGGAATTGGAGTAAACTGGAAAACAATGGTGAAGGAGGGGAAATATAGTACAGAGGTATCTCCGTCACTGAGAAGTTATTGAGGTCCACTGAAACAGCCACATTATCTGAAATTGTTTTTTAATTTTGGAAAAAGAACAAAATTAAACCTTAGCTACTTTGATCAATTATTTAACTCCACGTCCCTGGTATAATACAAGCAGAAGCTGGGTTGCTCACTTAAAAAGGTGATCTTAGAAGATGCATGTATCAGTTATCTTTGTCACAATGATGCTGCATAACAAACCATTCCAAAACTCATTGGCCTAAAAAAATTTTTACTACTGCTCATGAGTCTGCAGGCCAGGTTGGCAGTTTGTCTAGGCTCACATGAGGCTCTCCCACATGTCTGCGGTCAGCTGTAGGTCAGCTAGACAGCTATGCTCATCTTAGCTGGGCTTTCTCACTGTTCTGAGAACTTTCCTGGGCAGCTAGACTGACACAGCTCTGTTTCATGTGGTCTCTCACCCTCCAGCAGGTGGTCTTAATCTTGTTCTCTTGTGGAGGCAGATGACCAAGAGAAAAAGTGGAAGTGTACAAGTTCTCCTGGGGTCTAAGCTTGAAACTGGCTCAATGTCCCTTCCCTCATGTTCACTCGGGCCAAAGCAAGTCATGAGGCCAGCCTACATGCAAGGGGAGGGGGAATAAATAGTCTTTACCTCTTGCTTGGAGGAGCTGCAGTTACACTGCAAAGGATATGGATACAGGGAGGGCGTGGAGAATGAGACCATTTTTTGGTAACCAAACTATTTCAGTAGTCACACATCATAAAGCAGGGTTGACTTAGGTGACCTCTAAAGTCCCTTTCAACCCTGGAACAGAAAATTAAACTTGAGAGGAATTATTGATTCTTCTGTCTCAGAATAGTGTTCCTTGAAAGGTTTTTACCCTCCACACCTCTGCTAGGAATAATTATTGATCTTAATTCCTAAGGAGACATGTCTAGGTGTGTCAGTTTGGTCCCCTCAGAAGCAGGCACCAAGATGGAAGTAGATATAGAGGAAATTTGCAGGAAATGCCTGTGAAGGCAGGAACAGCTTACAAACTGTGGTGCTGATTGGCTACCTGTGTAAGGAAAGATGGAAGGATAGATTGGATGGGGAGAGCCTCAGACTTCAGTGCAGCTCTGCGAAGTTTGGGCTGTGCCAACATGTAAGAATAACCCAATTCAAGTCTCTTGACTTGCTCAGATACTCAGTTATTGGCTAGGAGCAACCTAGGTAAACTGGATCCTGTTGCAAACATAAAGGTGTATCTCAAAGTGTGGCAGTTGGAGGTTGTCAATCACCTATGCTACTTTCATCAGGTTCTCTCGAAGGGAGATCTGAGTCGGTCAACCCCATCCTACCATAAAATGAGAATATAAAATATAATGAGTGTTCAAAAATTACTGGGGTCAAATAGTTTCTATGTTGATCATGTTAATGTAATCAGACCCAAGGCTAGCTCTAGGAGTAAGTGCACTAAGATCCTGTGGGTGGATGCCCAAATTGTCAAAGGAGGGCACTACTCCAACACAAAAAATGCTCTTATTTGTTTTGGATGGTACTAAACACCTCTCCAACCAGGCTCTTCTACTTTCTATATACCAAACACAAATATCATGCCTTCCTTTTTATTTATGCTATGCTCTCTGCAATGCCTCTCATCTACTCTCCACCCATCAAACACCCATACTTCAAGGTTCTGCCTAAATCCCCACCTCAATGACTACTAACAGCAAAGCCCTCCCTCCAAACACCTAAGGAATATTATCATACCACTGTATACCACTTAATGTATTTACTCTTATTACATTAGTTAGCTTACCATGTCATTTAGAACTTAGGTTATCTATGAGGAGAGACTGTGAACCATGTTTTAGATGACCAACTTTTGTAATTTCTCTTTTCTTGTTTTGTTGAGCAATGTGGGGAGAGAAAAGGGAACTGGCTGGAAAGCCACCCTGGCTTAAAGACATGCTGGCCTAAAAGAGAGCATGTATGTGATTTAGGGATAGAAAAGTAAAGGTTACTTGATGTTGTGAAAGGAATTCTAAATCTCGACTAAACTTATCTGCAGATACAATCTGGGTACCACTTTCAGCCACATTGAGGCTACACAGGGAATATCTACAGGATTCTGGAAACAGGTAAATGTCTCACTCCCCTAAGATTCCTTATTTCCACACCCCTGTTGGTTCTGTCTCGGATCTATGAGAACTCTCCATCCTCACTGTCATCGTCGTGTTGGTTGGATGACTGCGATAGCTTCCTAACTAGCCTCCCTGCTTTCATTCCATCCATCTTTATCGGTCTCCAGAGGCATTTTACAAAATCATAAATAAGATTATGTCATTCCTCTGTGTGAAACAAGAGTTGATTAGGTCTGAAAACATTCTAATCCCAGATATTCTCCAGGTGATTTTCTTTCTCTTGGAAGCTTTCAGGATTTCCACATATTGCATCGTAACTCAGTGGTCCTTTTAAATCTGAAAACTCATTTCCTCAGCTCTGGAAATTTTATTGCATTATAGCTTTTATAAGATTTTTCTCCCTTTTCTTTGTTCTTAAATCCTTCCAGATTGAGCCTCTAGTTTCTTATACTGTTTTAATTCTAATTTCCATCTTGTAATATCTTAACCAGGAGAAGGAAATAATTTACTAGAACATTATTCCCCAAACTTGCTTATAAGGAGTAAGGTTTTAATGAGCTTGACCTCCAGGTCTATTTTGATACACTTCACCTTTTAGTTAAGTGACAAACTAAAATGTTTTATTTTTTTCTCTTGCTATCTCTTCAGTAGTTGTGCATGTCTCATCTTGAACCAATGGGCTTGATAAGAGTTTAACTTAAAAATTCACCAAGAAATATGTTCACATCATTTTTTTTCTTCAAAGCAGTGAAATAAATTGGGTTGTTAGAAGCGAGGGTAAAGTGCAATGTAATATAAATTTAGAAAGTAGGTCAGGTCCTACTTCTGTGTCAGGGATAAAAAATGAATCTAGGATTCAGAAAGGGAATATTCAGTAATTGACACAAAGAGAGAGCTCCCTAAAGTCAAAGTCATTTGTCATTTGGTTATGGAATTCAGGAACTCTAATCAACAGCATAAACTCCAGGGAAGGTAACTCCAGTCTGTTCACTGTAGAATTTACAAGGTATAATAAGATTTTTGGGGTATAGTCAGTAAGAGGTAAAAAGAGAGAGGAAGAGAGGAAGACCAGTGGTCTGACAGTGTGGAATAATGGGAAAATCACTGGATTAGAAACTGAGTTTAATTGTGGTTCAGCACTTGTGACCAAGGGCCAGGCAGACACAGTGTCTGCTTGTGGCTCAGGATCTATCATAAAATGTGAGAATAAAATAAGATTTGTGACATCTTTGAAAAGCACACATTTTTATAAAGAATTAAAAATTTTTATGACAGACAAACTATTTCAGTTTATAGTAGGATCAATAATATAGAACTGACAATCACATTGTTTTATTTATATACTTTTTTCAGATTGGAAAACTGTCACTAAATGAAAGTGAATGATCTGCAAGTAGATAAAATAGAATCTTGTAAATTTTGGTCCATTAAACATAACAAAAATTTCGCTGAGAGTTTATGATGACCTGCTCTACATGGAGAAAAATCGATGTCCTCAACGGCTGCAGTGACCTTTTCAAGAATAGTTGGTAAAATATGTGATAAATTTAACAAATTGAAACATTAATATGTTATTCTTTGTGCTTTCACTTGACTATGATGATTTAGGGATAATCTTACCCAAGGCAGAAACAGGTAGTACATGAGTTCTGAAGATTATTTCTCGAAATAATTCAGAAATAAAAAAGTGTTGTTAGCGAATGGAAAATACTGTTAGAGAAGATGTAAAGGTTTCTTTTGTGGACTAATGCCCTCTTGGCTGGTACCATTAAGATGCCGTGTGGCTGCTAACAAGTAGATTGGCTAGGCAGACTCTGGGGAACAATTCTAGCTCTAAGAATCTTTAATAACCTATAGGTTAATCATTACTTTCTGAACCATTCCCCAAGTGGAATATTATATTTAGAATATTAGAGCAATTGTAATCTGCACCTGTGTGTCTTTCCATTTACTATTGCTTCTTCCTTTATTCTTCATCCAACTTTTCCTTTATTCTTCACACAATTTTTGCAACTTGAAAACTCAGCTCAAGCGTCATTGTTCCTCAGATAAGCCTTTACTAATCTGTTCTTTTTCATTTAAATACAGCTCTCTAAGTTCCCATGCCATCATCTGCATAGTATGATATTTATTACATCGCCTGAAAATTGTGGGTAATAGCCTGTGTCTGTCTTCCCATGGACTATGTAGATATAAGGGCAGGACTTTATATGATTTTGTTTTCCCTTTTCCTAGCACAATACTTGCTATGCTAGTTATCCTCACTAAAACAATGAAGTAAAAGGAAACAGAATGGAATCTGTAATTGAAAGACCTGGATTTGAGCCCCAGTTCAGCACATTTCTAGCTGTTTTACTTTGGGGAAATCAATCTCTCAGATTTTTAGTTTTCTCAGTTTTCCAATGAGGATAATAACAACTTTGTTATATGCTTATTGAGATGTAAATGTGAGATTATGTAACGATACTTTGTAAGCAGAAAATGCTACACAAAGGTAACATTACCATTTCTATTGCTCTGCAGGAGAGGTATCAGAACTTCTAGATCTCATTACACCAAGCTGATATCAAATGGTTGCATATTTCAAAAGTCTCAACCCCCTCTACAAACATATTTCCCAACTAAAATTACATTATGACACACAAAAGTATCAAACTCCTTATGAACAACACTGAGGGTGAGGGGCATGTTGGGATGTTTGGAGTTGAGGTGTGGGTCAAGAGAGAGTTAATCTGCAACCCATGTCACTGAAGGGGAGACAAGGGACAGAAAACTCATGAGTGTATAGCTTGATTTTACCAACCCTTAGATGGGTAATTAGAAAACACTCTTCTCTAAAATTTATGAGTAAAGAAATGCCTATTCAGAAATCGTAAATATATATATACCTAAAAGCCAACATGTCTAAAAGCTAACATTTATAGAAAAACTAGTTTTGATGGTTTCACTTACCTTTGGTTGCAGATTAAAAAACACCAAGCAACTTTTGGAGAAGATGAAATAAGTTAAGGTGTATAGATTTTCTTATCCTTTGAAATAAAATTATTTTGTCCATCTTCATTTATGTGTCAAGAAGCCTTGGGTGAAAGACATTGGAAATGTATTCAGAAGGTCTGAAAGTAGCTCCCATGGAGAAGCAAAAAAATAAAGAGTGACATTTATTTTATTTATATAAAAAGCCAAGTCAGGATTTCTGCTTTGGAATAGGATGGAGAATTTCATTGCAGATCAATGTTCCCACTGACCCCAACTAGAAAAGTCAGACAGAATATAATTTTTAAAAGATTTAATAAGAGCCAGAAACCACAGAACTATTAGGAACATATAATAAAATTTCAGGGAGAGGAAAACTTTTAGATGGTGAAATCAAGCCTTTTAGCTCTCTCTGTAGAAATTATCTGCTTCTGGGCATGGGCTGAGAGTCTGGGCTCAGCCCAGGCTGGGAACTTTTTCTGGGGTGTAGAATAAGCAGCGATGGTAGTAAGTTAAGGATTTGAGTGACAGATTTAGAGATGTGAAAGTCCTCAAACTGATGGCCAATTTTCCCTTCAATACTTGATAAACTGCAAATCTGCATAGGATAGGAGATTAAAGAACTAAGCCCAAATTTCAGAAAACCTGGGTAGAATTTTCCACAGCCTCCCACTACTTAGAAAACAAATACTGGGGCTGGCCCGGTGGTGCAGCAGTTAAGTTCATACGTTCCACTTCTTGGCAGCCTGGGGTTTGCCAGTTCGGATCCCGGGTGCGGACATGGCACTGCTTGGCAAATGCCATGCTGTGGTAGGCATCCCATGTATAAAGTAGAGGAAGATGGGCATGGATGTTAGCTCAGGGCCAGTCTTCCTCAGCAAAAAGAGGAGGATTGGCAGTAGTTAGCCCAGGGCTAATCCCGCCCCCCCAAAAAAGGAAAACAAATACTTACTAAGGACAGGGAACCTGAAAGCAAGAAAGGAGAACTGAAAACACCCTAAGGAATGGTGAGCTGACAGGGATGCAGAGCTCCGACTTCCGTTTCCCTGGAGGCACTTGCAGATCTGGGTATAGCTATAATCTAAAAAACCAAGCTTGACCTCCAAAGCAGGACCACTGCCGTACACAGAGAAACCAGCAGAGCTTTTGCCATTCACTCAGAACTGGAACGATAAAACTGGAAACTTGAGGGACTTTAAACACAGCTGGGTATAGAATTCTAGGTTTGTGTTTCAGCACTTTGATGATACTGCTACATTCTCTGCTGGCTTCCATCGGCTCTGTAGAAAAGTGAGCTGTCAGTTGATCCTTTAAAGCTAACATACTCTTTTTCTCTAACTTCTTTTAAGATTTTCTCTTTCTCTTTGGTTTTCAATAATTTGACCATGATGTGCGTAGAAATTTTTTAATTTATATTTTTCAATCATGCTTTCCCTGGGTTACTTAAGCCATGGGCTGGTGTTGTGTGGGATGGGAGGCTAAAGAGCTAAGCTGAAAACCCCTGAAAATCAGAGCAGAAATTCCTGCAGTTTTTCATTGCTGAGGAGACAAAGACTTACAATGATCCCAACTGAAAGCCCTGAAGGGCCATGCCCTAGGAAAACAGGTACAAAAGTAGTTGATTGAGTTTTCACTAAACTGTAACTCAGTGTTGGCCCAAAGCAGTGTGTAACTGGATTAAAGTGATCAGTCTCCATCTAACTATTTATCAAAGGAAAGGCAGAACCCTCTCTTGGGGAAGATAAAATAATTTGAAGCATCTACAAGTTTTTACCCCAATTATGGCATTCAGTAAAAAATTACTAGGCATGTGAAGAGATAGGATATACGGCTAAACCTTAACACAAAAAATAGACACTAGAAACAAACCAGCAAGGAGTCCAGATACTTGAGTTAGCAAACAAGTTCTTTATAATAAATTTGATTAAGGTGTTCAAGAAAATAGAAAAAAATGAAGAAAAATAAAAAGAATGTGGAATTTTAACATTGAATTGGAATACACATAGGAAATCAATGGACATTATTGAACTGAAAAACACAATCTCCGAATCGGCAATTTTAATAACAAATTGAACATACCAGAAGACAGAACAGTGAATAGGAAGAATAGTCAATAGAAAATATCCAAAATGAAGCACAGAGTGAAAAATGATTAAAAACCAATAGAACAGAGTATAAGAGACATACAGGTCATGTTCAAATAGTATAACATATATGTAATTGGCATTCAAGAGGGAGAGGAAAGAAAATGGAGAACAAGCAGTTTAAAGAGATAATAACTGAAAACTTTCCAGAAGTGATGAAAAACACCAGCCCATGGCTTCGGTAGCCCAGGGGAAGCACGATTGAAAAATATAAATTAAAAAATTTCTACGCACATCATGGTCAAATTATTGAAAACCAAAGAGAAAGAGAAAATCTTAAAAGAAGTTAGAGAAAAAGAGTATGTTAGCTTTAAAGGATCAACTGACAGCTCACTTTTCTACAGAGCCGATGGAAGCCAGCAGAGAATGTAACAGTATCATCAAAGTGCTGAAACACAAACCTAGAATTCTATACCCAGCAGATGTATCCTTCAAATGTAAAGGTAAAAATAAAGACATATTCAGAATAAAACTGGGGGAATTCATCACAAGCAGACCAATATTTTTTTTAAATATAAGAGAGTTGTACAGGAAGAATTAATAATTCCAGTGAAAACACAGAAGCACATGAAAGAATGAGGAGCGCTGGGAAAACTAAATAGTGGATAAACGTGAAGGCATAGCGACTGCAGGAAAGGATATCTGTAACATCTGATGGATCTTACAGTACATGTAGAGCTAAAATTTCTGAGAAAAAATAACATGAAAAGCATGAGGAATAAATGGAGTTAAAGTCTTATAAGCTCTAGCATGGCTAGGAAGTGATAAAAATAATATTTATGCTATCTTTTACTAACCCAAGAATGACTGCCATAATGTATGGAGTAACCACTAAAAAAGTAATAAAAACAAAAAGAACTAGCAAATTAACAGGGTGAAATGAAATAAAAATCACATTTGAAAAATATAAGGTATAAAAATGAGAAAAAAAGAAAATAAAATATTTGGGACAAACAGAAAACAAACAGCAAAGTCGTTGATATAAGCACAGCTAAATAAGTAACTAAACTAAATAAATACATTTAAACACACTAAATATAAAGGAAATAAATGAATTAAAATAAAACTCACATTTCATGCAAATAAAAGAAAGCAGAAGATTTGCTAATATTAAAGAAAACAGACTTTCACAAAAGAAATATTGCTGGAAATAAAGAGGTACAGTTTATAATGGCAAAGGAGAAAATCTGTGAGAATGATATCAAAATTTTAAATCCATATGCCTCCAATCATGTGTCTTCATAATATATTTTTAAAATCCCCAAAGTAACATAATTTAAAGGAGAAATAAACAAATCCAAAGTGTTAGATATAGACTTTAACAAACTTCTCTTTATAGCTTATAGGACAATTAAATAAAACTTGATAAGGATAGAGAAGATCTGAACAACACAATCAATAAACTTGTTGTTACTGACCTACATAGAATACTGCACTCAATCACAAGGGAATTCACATTATTTTCAAGTGCACATAAAGCATTTACTAAAATTATCATATGCTAGATTGTGAAGGAAGCTTTACCAAATCTCAAAGGATTAATATCATTCGGAGTATGATGTCTGATCCCCAGTGGAATTAAGCTAGAAATAAATAATAAAAAGATAACTTGAAATCTCCAGCCATTTGGCAATTAAACAGCATGCTACTAAGTACTTTGTGGATCAAAGAAGAAAGTACAACTGAAATTAAAGAATACTTTGAAGGGAATTATAGCAAAAATACAACATTTAAAAGAAAGCAACTTGTGGGATTCCACTGAAGTAGGGCTCAGAGGCAAATTTTTAGTTTTACATGCATATATTAGAAAAGAAAGAAGCTAGTAACAAAGGAAAAAACCCAGCAGAACTAAATTAAATAAAATAGAAGGAAAATTAGCAGTAGATACTAATAAAATAGAAAAGCGTACAATGGTGAAAAGCAACAAAGACAAAAGTTGACTCAAAAAATTAACATTGATAAAAACCTAGAAAGAGTGATCAACAAAAAAGGAAGAAAAGAAGAAAGATGGAAGGAGAAAAGAAGGAAGGAAGGAAGGGGCAGGAAATTACCAATAGAAAGAATGAACATCACTACAGATCCTACACAATTTAAAGTGATAAGAGGATTGTAGGAACAACTTTTTGCCACTAAATTTGATAATTTGGATGAAAATAGATAAATTCCTTAAGAAAAAACTACTCAAACTGAAAGTAATAGGAAAAAAGTCTTTAGCCTAATATTTACCAAAAAAATTGAATCTCTTGCTAAGTACTCTCTACACCACAACACAAAAACAACAAAAAAACCCCAAAACATCCTCATATAACTTTACCAATGAACTTTTCCAGATATTTAAGAAAAAACACCAATCTTAAAAAATTGTTCCAAGGAGTAGAAACAAAGGGAACACTTCCCTTTTCTTTTTGTGAGGCCAATATAACCCTGAATCCAAAACTGACGACATTGCACAGCAGTCTTTCTCATGGACATAGCCGCAAAAATTCTTAACAAAAGTTTAGCACAGTGAGGCCAGCCAAATATACATAAAAGATAAGTAAGAATGAACTAGTCTCACTCCAGGAATGTAAAAGTAAGCTAACATTTGAAAGTCAACAATGTAATAATTCTCTATATAGCAGGAAAATGGTACGTGTGGAGAAATCACATTATCTTTTATCTAGATGCAGTAAAACATTTGAGAAAATTCAACACCATTCATGGTAAACAACAATAACAACAAAGTCTCAGCAAACTGGACACAGAAAAAGCATTTCCTTATTCTGGCAAACATGGATGAACTTCTCAGTATATCAAGGTAAAGAAGCCAAACATGAAGAATGCAAACACTGTAATTCCACTTTACATAAAACCTAAAACCAACGACCAGTAATCTATGCTGTTAGAAGTCAGAACAGCAGTCACCGGTTGTCTTAGTCTGCCTGGGCTGCCATAACATAATACCATAAATTGGGGTGGCT